GAGCACCATACACCCTAAAATCCAATATAACACCTAGTAATATTGTAATTCTTTTCCTATAAAAAAACATTGTAATTCTTTTATCTACTCTAGGCCTCAAATTCCCTAATTTCCTCATCACCCTCAACATCACGGTGTCTTTGAATCAAACAATACTTCTAGCAGATAATTTATTTTCTACCATCATATGGCAATGAAAATGGTTGATCACATCAGCGACCATGTCTTGTTCAAAGGTAGGTATATTATTGAATATGAAGTATAATTAGCTCATTACAAATATTATCAATCTGATATATATTCTTGCGACAAAGTGATCCCTCTAAAATCGTCTCTCCTGTGATCCCTCTAAGATCGTCTCTCGCTTACCACAAGGGTCCAGAATCAAGATGGAAACATAGCTCAACCAAGCACTCGAGGAGTTGATATGCATGCATGTCAGCAAAGCATCTGCATCTTCCGGATGAAGCCAGTACCCACAACCCACATGAATCCTTACGTTGCCTTCAATCTGGGAAGCAAAAATTCAACATTGAGGCATCCTCTCACTAACCCACATGAATCCTTACGTTGCCTTCAATCTGGGAAGCAAAAATTCAACATTGAGGCATCGTTCCAAAATTCCAGTCCAATAAATAAAGCTAAGAAAGAACCCATCCGTCCTTTGCCAGAAAGCTTAACCCTGTTTTGGTGAGCAAAATTCGTAACTGGGAAGTGGAACAACCGACACAGCATGCAGTATGAGTGGAGTCCATGTTACGATGTTATCGCCCGCCCACGGGCCACGGCTTTTCCTCGCCCTATGGCAGAACCTCCTAAATTATAGGGTCCACATGCACTTGTCACTGTTCAACGACCTTTGACATCTATGTATATGTTCCCGGTAACTTAAGAAGACTATCGGGTGTCCTCGGGGAACCCCGAATCATCCACGATTTCCGAGCAGGATCACATTATAGAGCCATTGCAGTATTACACCATTTATTCAAATATCTACATCAGAGTAAAACAACGGAAGACTTACAATAACATAGTTTACAAACTATTTATTTCAAACCATACAACTAAATTCGATACTTATTACAAACTAAAGGAGTGGAGTGGCATTATAACATAAACGTAACACACAAAATACGCATCCTGCCCAAGGATCACGCATTTAGTTATCGTCATCGCACTGAACAACGGTCATGCAGCGCGATCAAAAACAGATCTGCTCATGAGCCTCACCTGCAACAAGGGTCAACGAACCCTGAGTACAAAAGTACTCAACAAGACTTAACCGAAATAAGAATTAATAGAACGCAGGAATGCAGACTCAGGGGATTCAAGGTATGGCTTTAGCAATAATCAAAGTTCTTTTACGTAAAAGCTTTTTAACAAAATTCTTTATATCAATATTTAAAACTTCATAAGATCATATACAAAGCTGACATGACCCGCATTGAGATCATGAAACTTCATATCCAACACTTTCTCAAACCAACCTCAAGTTCCAGTTATTAAACTACGATGATGAACAGAGAAGTGAGTCTCCATAATCGAGGAGCAACAACGATTCGAACCGATTATAAACCTAGCTGAGAATTCTAGACCACACGACATATGCAGGTCCCCGACCTACATATACCAACCTACCCTCGGATCCTCTAAACAAGAACGGGTCCGCGCCACCCGAGAATACAGTGCTCCACCAATCCAGCCCATTGCCACGTGGTACACGCTATTCCCGCCATTTCTCCACTCCCAGTGCGCGAGTAGTCATTCTCGTAATAGAATAACCAAGTTAAGGCTTACCGGAGTATGTGGTTAGTACTACAAAGTCTCACCGCACACAGTTCAACAACGGTACGGACCTTAACCGACACAAGCGGAAAGAACCCGCTCACAAGACCTCCATGTCTTGTGGCTCACACACACCGAGTCCGCCCGGTCTAGATTTATTACTCCACATGCTCATATCATATGATAACATAAGTAACCAAAGTTCCATTTAACACTTGCAGATAACAGGTAATCACCCGACTTTTATCGTTCTAAGCATTGCTAAGCCAAACTAGGCATATACGAATTAAAACTAATAACAGGGTAGATATGGAAGAACAAGGTTGGTAATGCACCAATTAGATTTTCACTTAACTCCTAATCACTTAATGCAGTACAGAAAAGCAAAAGCAAAATCAATTGGTAAAACACAAGGTAGGGTTAAATGCATCCGGGGCTTGCCTTCGTTGACGGAAAAATCTGGGTCCGGAGTCGTTCCACCGATATCAGCACCAACCTCCACAGACGGATCAACCTCCTCAACTACTTGATAACTACCACGTGCTCACCTTCGTTCACTACACGTAGTAACAATGCCATGTTTAATATGATGCGAGATACAATATATGATGCTCGATGATGGATGCAAAAGTTAACAACTTGAATACAACTTTCCTTCGCGGTACAGTTACAAGTCAAACTAACTAAACCATTTTCGTAACACTCACATCAATTGCCAAGGATCATTACCAACTAATGACCCAAGGACATCACTCAATCAAAAATTCAAACAAAACCTAAATCACTAAAGGTTACTATTTGCTTTTATAAATTAATTAATTAATTAATTAAGAATTATGAAATAAATCAACTTGTTCCAATTGACCTCAAAATTTTTGTAAATGTTCATCACATGATAACTAAGTGGCAAAACAATTTTCATAATTTTTGGATACATAAATAAGCCTAAAAAAATCATGGAAACTCATTTATTAATTAATTGAGCAATTTTTATCACATTCAAAAAGTACTGAAAAACAACATTTCATATTTTTCTTAAATAATATACATCACAGAGAGGTCACACAAAAATTTTCATAATTTTGGGAACCCTAAATAATGCTACACAAAAATAACAAAAACTATCACTATTCATTCAAATCTGAAAAACAGAAAATTCATTTTGAACGCTGAGTCACTGACAGGGTGACCCCACATGTCATCTTCAACCTCCGGCTTTGACTCCGGCGACACGCGCGCTGACCGGCGAAAATTCATCGACGGTGAGTCCAACGGCGACGGCCAAGGTACTAAAACATTCACCATGACTAGGCGTATCGATTTGAGGCACTACGAAGACTAATTACGGCACGAAACAAGGCTGACGCCGGCCATGGCGGATGCGACAGCACGGCAGCTCTACGCCGGCGACAGGAGACCGGTAGAGTGTAAACATAAGGCACGGAGAGGTTCAGCAGCTCACCACAAACACGTTGGAGCAAAAAACGAGACCGGAGAAGCAACGGTGACGCGTGATGACGTCCACGGTGATCACGGCGGAGCAAAGATCGTCGGTGATGGTGTTCCGGCAACTGCAGTGGGCAAAACGACCAAGCAACAAGGGATTTAGCACCACGGCATCGAGACGAAGCCAAAGGTACATCGATCAAGGGCAACGGCTCACCAGAGGGCGCTGGTCACGGAGATACGCTTGAAATGGTGAGGTTGCCGGCCGCGAAGAAGAAGGGTTCGCACCGCGGATTCCCGACGAAATCAGGCTACCAAAGCTGGCTGGATGGATGCGCAAGAAGGAGACGGAGCTGGAACTGGCTTAGCTGCGACGGTGGAGCACTACAGCGACGGTACGAGCTCGCCGGAGATGAGCAAGGGCGACGGGAAAAGCAGAGCAGCGAAAGGAAGGTCGGCGACAGCGTCTGAGCTTTATAGAGCGGCCAAGGAAGCCAGAGGAAGCCACGACGGAGCCTTTTCCCGCGCCAGCGCGACGCCACAAACGGCCACGACGCGCCAGGAACGCCGAAGAAGGTCGCCGGCCATGTAGTTTAGGCGGTGAACACTGTTCACAGTAATTACAGAATTGTCATTCGTTTCAAATCCAAATTACTCCCAAATTTGTGTAACAACTCAAAAATCTCCAAAAATAAAAGTTGTTCAAAATCAAAAGTTCTACAACTTTGCTTTTATAACCACCCCTAATTCGGTTTATATTTTGAAATGAAAATTTGAATTAAAAAAGGGGACATTTAAGGAATTTCGCCTTTTTAAATTACTTTAAATTTTTCTAAACAACTTTGAGAACTCCAAAAACAAACTTTGTACAACTCAACAAGCTCTACATTTTTGCTTTAAGGCTCAACCCCAAAATATGCTTAGATTTTGAAATGAGTTTTTAGAGTAAAAATTTAAATGCTGAAATTAGGGTTTTCGGAATTTTAAATCAATACAAAAATTTCGAACTTGATTCAAACAATACCAAGCAACACTTATAATATAATTGTAAACTTGCTTTAGTGAATGCATAACAAAGTTTTCAATATGAACAAATGCTTTGCAATACATATGATGACATGGCAGTTTTAGTATTTATAACACCCGGGGTGTTACACGCCCGGCCAGCGCCCGCCTGCCGTCGGCATCGTCGCATGCCAATCGCGCCAGGTGCCACCGGCATGACCAAATCCCTACCACTCCCGTGACCCGTCCCATCCCATGTGGTACAGGCAAGAGGCAGTCCATGCTCGTGGGCGGTGTGCTAGGTCTGAAACAATGCAGAACCCCAGCAAGGCAGCAACCAGAACCCGACAGCGAAACCTCAAGATAACAAGAAATGCATCGCCGGCTGAATCCTATCAGTCCTATCACGGATAAACACCTGTATTTCCATTACTTATAAGTCTAAAGTATTGTCACCATCTATAACATGCCACAACGAAATTGACAATGAATGGCTCCACCTCCCCGCCTGAAAAATCCTAACAATCTGCCAGTATGTGTTTCATCTACGTCGAAACCGGGGGTGATCGTCGTCACCTACGAACGGACTCCCCCCAACAAAGGGCCAAAATTAACAGTGTAGTGACGATAGCTGAGGACTGACGAACAAGCAACTTTGGATCGACCGACCGACCGAACGAACCACCGACCGAGCGGGTGCGCACAGTTACAAAAGAACAAGAAGAATGAACGAATCAGCAGCGGCGGCCGCAGCAGCTAGCTCTTCATCTCTCGCCGTCCTCGAGGTCGCCCGCGGGCACGTCGCTCACCCTGGCCTTGAGGGGTACGTCCTCGCCGTCGAGCATGTCGCTCTTGTTCCGGGGGATCGGGGCTGCCGCCTTCTTCTCCGCTTCCATGGCCCAGCTGTAGACCACCATGCCCATCACGGCAAGCAGCATCCCGAGGATGTTCTTGATGGTGAGGGCCGAGTCAAACAGGATCCAGCCGAGGATCAGCACGCACACGGTCTTCATGTGGCCCAGGACCTGGAATGAGGTTGCTGAGAACCGGCCGATGCAGAGGTATTGGCTCATGTTGCAGAAGACGGCCAAGGAGCAGGAAAGCAGAATGAAGAACTGCAAAATGATTAAAAGGGAAGCTGTTAGATCATAAGCAGTAGTCCCCACCTCCCCAGTATCCAGTTAGTACAAAGATTGCATAATGAGTAGGGCATATAGCAGCATGAGCAACTTCATTTGTAGCTGCTGCTAGTAAACATTTTGCTTAACATTTAGCAATCAAGAAACTAAGGTGCAAAACCAAGAAAAATCCATATATACAAATCAAGCAATACGCAAATTCTCATTAAGACTATTAAGCAAATGATATAGGAAAAGGAAAAAGGATAATTGGTCTGGCAGTTCCATGTCAGAAGAAGTTGTCTTATGTGGGTCCAGCAACATGAATTTACTACAGGTGGACCACTGGCTGGGTTTTTTCACTATACTAGAATGGCAAAAATAATAGAGTTAAGCATATAAGTTAAAGAGATAAGAACACTGCCAATGAATTTAAAGTAGAAGATAGATAACTCAGGATAAGTAGTGGGCACAAAGATAGCAATGCTCTAAAAAACTGCGAACTGTGACAGGATAACTTACAGTTGCCCCTCCTGAAAAAGGGTAGTTCAACAATGACCGTCCATTTAGGTAGTAGTCCACAAAGGGGCCCAGTATAACAAGTGAAAGTGCCTGAATTGGTGCAGTTTTGCTCAGTAGCTCAAATGATCCAATGTTGTACTTCTTCTGAAAGGAGCCAATTGTCTGGGAAGAGGAAACACGTCATCAACTGCCTCAAAGTATAGTGGAACTTAGTAAATTGCATAAGCATTGCTGTGAGACAAGTATTGTTGTAGAAAGTAACTTCCAATAACAATTCTTTTGAAATATTAAACTCTTCATGTACAACTTAGAAGTATTACTAAAGTTTATAAAATTTCCAGAAACTTCAAAAATCACATTTTTTGTTAGCAAAACAACAAACTTCGAAGATGATATTTGCGTTAGTAAACATCTCCTTATAGATCATAGAAGTAGAAAAACACTATCATTTGAAGATGAAACAAGAAGAATGTAAAACGCCAAAAATTGCTTCAAATTGATTGCCGGTAGTTTGAACTTGAAGGATATATAACAAGCAAATAAATGTGTACAGTATAAGATAACAAAAATGTGAGGAAGCACATAGAATCATCTATGAAGAGAACTGCAGATGTGCAGCTTATAATGTAATATACAAATTGACAAATCATGATACGTCACTACTGATGGTCTTTTAGTACCCTTTTTACCATTGATTTGTATTATTGTATTTCAGAGAACTGCGGAAGTTTGGGCTTCCGGTAAGTCAGTAACAGTGCCTTGCTGCCTAGTGATAACCAGTTATGATACAAGCCACACATACAGCAATTAAGTGATGCCCAAAGCAGCTCAACTGTTTGAAGGGAAAAATTGCAAAAAACAACCCATATCTCACTTGGATTTTGAGTTCCTCCCATAAGCCATTTTGTTGTAAATACCCACACTCCCCTATTTGGTTCTATTGCACATACATTTAACTGATTCAACCTGTTTTTATCAATTTGGAACTGCCAATGTAATCATTAGAGTATAATCCCGGCACCTTTCAGGGATTCCACCAAAATAATCCTGATGAGAGCTTAAATATTGACAAGCCCAGTCTTGCTATTTGAAAAAAAAAAGAGCACTGCAACATGATATGAGGCTAATCAAAGCACTTGAACAAACTTCACTCGGCTAGCTTGGCCTGTCATGACACTACATTGGCATAATCGGCTGAGTGTGTGCGTGGTGGGTGGTTTTTGCAACAAAGCTAAGTAGTGATGGACATTTGCAACAAAACAACTTATGAGAGGAATCTCAAACCCAAACGGCATGTTTTTTCGCTCCTTTTTTTTTACATTTGTTCATAGTTTTATTAAAGGGGGGAGCAGAAAGGGAAGCATCTAATAGGACGAATAACCTCTAATCAATTTCAAAATATTTCATCATTATTGTCCATATCAGTTTAAATAAGGTTGACAGCTCAAATTCATAGTCACATACCAAAATCTCGTTGCAAATTGCAGAATAGCATTATGGCGGTCAAAATTAGAATTCTCCATATCGTAATGGAATACACAACGCGAAAAGGCTAGCAAGAAGACTGGTCAAAAGGAAAAGAGCTCACAATCTGTTGAAGCGACGTGCAGAACACTGCCACGCAAGCGCAGATGAATCCCTTGGCATTGACCTCGACATCCGTGACAGTACAAATCCGACACCGGCGGCCACGACAATCACTGCCGATATGACCTTAGTGGTGTAGTGCTTGCTGTTCAGCACCCATTCCATCAGGCAGACCACCGGAATCATGCTCAATTTGGAGATCTGCGAATTCTCAACTTCAGCCACACAAGCAAGCAACCCAGGCCAAAATGGGCGACGTAGGCCTGCCACTGTGAGAGCAAGGTGTACCTGGTAGAAGCCGACGGAGTTGAGCATGAGGCTGAGGTTCATCCCGGTGATGGAGGTGTTGGCGACGAGCGAGAACCAGACGAGCTCCCAGAGCGGGACGTGCTTGGAGACGGGTAGCCGGTGGCGTTGGAGATCCACCGACGAGCCGTGACCGTGAAGTGGAACCCGGTCAGCGTGGTGGCTGCGCGCATTCACAACACAAGCAGCGAAAAACGAACAATCAAACGCCCGCCAGATCCGCGAATTCCCCCGAGTGGCTGGCGGATCCGGATTCCAGATCCGCTCGCGCTCCGCGGGGGAGGAGAGACGAGAAGAGGAGGGGGGTACCGAAGGCGAAGGCGTAGCCGGAGGAGGACATGAGCTGCTTGTTGGCCATGATGAGACTGACGGAGCTGACGACGTTCATCGCCCACGCGCCCACATCGGACACCGCCGGCGTCTTCTTCTCCGCCTCCATGGCGCCGCCGCCGCCGCCTCCTCCGCCTCCCAGCAGGACACAACCTCACGCGAACCCGGAGGAGGAAGCGGGGTTCGGATGGGCTGACCCGTCTGCTGGTCTCGTCCCCGTCTCGGTTGCCTCACGCCTCACGCGGGAGGGGCCGCTCGGTTATAAAGCACGGGGGACGTTGCCGCCTAGACAAGGAAGGGAGAAACGGGGAGGGGGAGGGAGGCTTTCGAATTGGGGGCCGGAAACGTCAACGGGCACGGGGGGCAGCTGTGAAAAAACTCGCGGCCCCGCGGGGTGAGGATGAGGAGACGACGACGGATTGACGCGGGGAGGGAGGGAGGGCGGGCGGGCGCGGCGACGACAAGGGGAGCAGGGGGGCAGGGGGGCCGTGGCTCTGTTGGATTGGATGCCTGGATCTGGGGCCGGGCCGGGCCGCATGAGCATGACGCTTTTTCCCTGCAACTTCCGCCCATTTTGCGCGTCGCCTCCAAACGGCAGGCGCCGGGCACCGGCACCGCAGCGTGTGGCTGCGCGAATTGCAACACGCTAGCGCTGTTGCACCAAACCAGAGGCTTGTGAGTTGTGAGTTGTGACTGTGCTCTGGAAGTGGAAGGGGCTTCCCTGGACCAGCAAGCAAGGGTTCCGGAACGCGAGACTTTTCTTGGCATGTCGGCCACCGTATAGCACTGCCCGGCAGATTCGCACTTTGGGGTACTATATACTCCACTAGTTTAGTAGAACAGTATATATACTGCTGCTGCTGATGGTCTACGGCATAGCCCAGGCCTCGAGATCCACCACGCCCTTGTGCAAATAGTAAAAAGTCATCTGCTATGCTTAAGTTTGTCGACGCCGATTGGATTAAGGGCATGTCTAGTTGCAAAAAAATTTGCGCACTACCCATCAAATCGAATCTTATGGCACATGCATGGAGTACTAAATATAGACGAAAAAAACTAATTGCATAGTTGAATGAGAAATCACGAGACGAAACTTTCAAATCTAATTAGTCCATAATTAGACACTAATTGTCAAATACAAATAAAAGTGCTACAATAGCCAAAACCTAAAAATTTTGCATCTAAACGCGCCCTAACCAATCAAATTCTATTTTCTGCAACTCAACCAACCCTACTAGTTCTTTGAGGAACTCAACCAACCAAAGTTAGAAACCCAAGGTGGAAGTGGAATCTCTGTACTAGCCAGCTGGGTTCTTAGACTTAATGTGCAGCCTGTTGGTTTTGACTTATTCGCTCGTATCTCGTTTATAATCCACGGTTTAAATAGTGTTTTTTCTCATACTAAACCAGCCAATAGTACTTTTAAATCAATTCAGCCAAAATGAACGTGCTGGTGATGGCCACTAAAACAGCCCTGCACGTCAATTCCTGGGTCGAAAAACTGGAAAAGATCTGTCGCCCGATCAAAACCATGGAAGCGATGGAGCGTCTAGTCTACTGTAGTCTCTAGAGTGACAATCCAAACATCACCGTCAGCATCAAGTTGAGAATATCCACAGCGATTGACTGATCGCCACGGTCGATGATTGAATTCCAAGCCCAAGCGCCCGTGTTACTGTTTTGCCTCCGCTGTAGCAGAGTTTCGCTTGGATACGCCAGGTTGCCTTTCAATCGCCAGTGATTGATTGTTAGGCCACAGGCCACTGGACCATTGAACCGGCACCGAGCAGGCCCGCTCGGCCTCCTCCAGCCTCCGGGGTTGGTCGGGCCGGTAACCAGTCAAGAAAAAGAAAGTACAATAAGGAAAGCTCTGTTCGCGGTGTCGAAGCTAGATGTAGAAAATGGTACCACTGGGCGATTAAAACAAAACAACACAGAGACTTCTTTTGTTGACCGGTGACTTCTTTTGTTTATGCAGCACAGCAGCAGGCTCCGTTATCACAAAATGCAGCGCCTTTGATGGGGAGCAGAGAGGGCCAGAGGCCGTTGAGACGTTATAACAGATGCTTGCGACGCGATCCGGCGTTGGAGCGCGACGTCGGTGCTGCTGCCGTAAGCCCGTAGACCCGCAGCACCGTGATTGGCGATGCCGTCCCCGTCTCTCTATCGGGCGCCACGGTGTGGTGGACAAGTTCTTCGGCACCGACAGGAGATGATGCCACGGCCGGATTAGTTTAGCTTATAGCCGGACGGAGCCGGGAGCGGAGGCGGACGGTGATGGCGCCAGGTCCCCACGACCGTGACCGTGGGTGGCTCGGCGTCGGCGACGGCATCCACATTCCCTATTCCCGTGGGGCAGGTGGGGGCCACAAGGTGGGTGCGGAGTGCCAACAAGCCGCCGGGTTTGTCTCGTCCCGTTCCGAATCTTGGAAGCGCATGGACGTGCGCAAGAACTCTGACGGCGACGGGAGGTGGTAGGAGTCTGGCTGGCCATGGCCCGCTGCCGCCCTGCCAGTAAGCCGATAAGCGTGGAACAGTCATCTCCGAAAAAAAAAACAAAAAAACAAAACTGTGCCGTAATAGCATTTAGATTTTGAAAAAAAAACAAAACTGTGCCGTAATAGCATTTAGATTTTGAGTTAAATGCACCGTAGATCATTAACTTTCGGTGGTACGTCATCTAAGTTCATCAACTTTTAAACTGTATTTTTGGGTCTATTAACTTTTGGTGATATGTCATTCAGGTCCATCAACTTTCAAACTGTATTTTTAGGTCCATTAACTTTTGATGGTGTGTCATTCAGGTCTATCAACTTTTAAATTGTATTTTTAGGTCCTTAAACTTTTTAACTGGTTCACCGTAGGTTCATACTCCTTCGTTTAGCGAATAGATATGACATGGCACACAAAAAAAAGCATCAACTGTGGAGCACAGGACGAGATCACCATCCGAAGATAATCTTCAATACGAAGAACCTGATGGGGTCACCGTCTTGGGTTTCTCGAGCGGTGGCTCGACGGAGAATAAACTCCACAATAAAATCCAGTCTGATCTACTTGGTACAAGGCCGAAGGCCACAGTATAGGCATGCAGGCCACTTGACCCCAAATAAAACTCGAACTCTACCAGCCAGACTAGGATCGATTGACCTTGAGACCCTGGTTCGGCTAACATGCACGGCACATCCAAACGCAGCCATCAATTTGATTCACATACATAGGTGTACAAAGGCACTAAAAGCTAGATGCTAAATAAAAGATCGTGTGTCACAACTGGATAGGAAACTAATGCATGGAAATAATAAATTACTACGGCAAGGATGCTAATCACGTTGGAAAAATTTCATTGATGATCTCCACCTCTTTAGAATTAGTACCGATGTATTTTATTGGCTTCATTTTCTTCTCTTTTCCACGCAATAATAAGGCACCTCTATAAATATCTTTGATGACACTCCAACAGTTGTAAATTTCTCTACGTCCATAATATATTTATCCTTAAAAATAATAGTCTCAAATTTAAGACCAGAGGATATTAACGAATTATCAACTGCTATATTTGAATTATTGCTAGACAAGTCTCCATGAATATCTTGAGGAGCTACGGACTCATCACCTACTCCACGGTGACTGTTTATTTGACGTGCCATGTCAGATCTATTCACTAAACGAAGGGGTATGAACCTACGGTGAATTAGTTAAAAAATTTAGGGACCTAAAAATACAATTTGAAAGTTGATGGACCTGGAAGACAAACCACCAAAAGTTAATGGACCTAAAAATGTAATTTAAAAATTAATGGACCAAAAAATATAGTTTAAAAGTTGACTGACCTAAATGACACACTACCAAAAATTAATGGATTTATGGTGCATTTAACTCTTAGATTTTCAAAACAAAAGGAGAAAAGAAGCGAAATGTACTAACCTCGTATACGCTAGAGGTGGGTAAGTGTTTTTTTTTTTCGTATACGAAGTCCGTATGTTTCCATCAACCAAAGACTTAAAATGTCCTACTACGATGGTTCCGACGAGTGGAGTGTATATGTACATGTACGAATAATGTTTGAGTACTTACTGTTGTTTTCGTACTGCTGGAGTTGGAACGGCTTGGTTTTCATTTGATGAAGCGTTTCCGTGTGTGTGTTTATTTATGAAATGACGTCCCAATGGCCAATGCAAGAAGGCGAGTGTTTAAAGAGAAGCCACGAGCGCAGCAGTAACACAGCACGGCACCGGAAAGTTTGATAGTGAACTTATATAGAGAGTAGTAAATGACAACCACTTAGTCCGGCCTAACAATAGATGTGGAACATTAGAGCAACTCCAACAGTTTGCTAAACATCACTTGGCAAATCTATAGTTTTGCCGAGTCTCAAAACCAAATGCCAAGTGAAAAAAGAGGCATTCTCCAATAGTTTGCTATTTGGGCTTGGCAAATTGAAAATTGGTGGTCCATATGTCTTAATTTTTTGCGGGGTCGGTGCTAGGGCGACGCCCCTTCATCTCGCGCGAAAGAGATCGCGCGGCGCGTCCGTCCATCTTCGACGCGCGTACAGGGCCGCGGCGCCAATCTCCTCCCTCTGCCGCCGCCCGTTCTTCGTCCCTCTGCCGCCGCCCATCTCTTCCTCCCTCTGTCGTCGTGCAGAACGAAAGGGCGAAAGGAAGTCCAAAGTAAGTCGCGTAGAAGTCGAAGGAAAAAATCGCAGAAGTTGCCTACTCGCGTTGCATTGGGATCCCCAGGAACATCGAGTGCCTCGACGGGGAAGGACTCGCGTGTGCACCGGTGTAGATCAATGTTGCCTGTGCTGTATTGGCTTTCTCCTTGCTTGCTTTTTTTGAGAATCTTCTCCTTGCTTGCTTGGCAGCTGACCTGCCGGCGGCACTGGCGGCACCATGCCTAGGAAGAGATCCCGTGCTCGGAGACAATTAGATGAATCTTCATCCGATGACGACGACCTTCTCATATTCTCGGCTGCTCAAATTGTGAGCAATTTTTCCAACGCCAAAAGAAGGCCCGGTGGATCTGTCCCTGGTCATCGAGTTATTTATCGTGATAGAGAAGGCGGCCATGACAGGATGTTTCAAGATTATTTGGCGGATAATCCAA